CTTTAAATCAGGACTGGGGATGTAGTTCAATGCTCCCTAGGTTCAAGCCCCAGTACCCAAAAAGGATGTGTTAATTTGTTAGACATAAATTTTAGCACATTATTTTTATCATAGTGGATCTCTCCCACTTTCAAAGGAGGTGGCTCGGGGATCCGAAATATACCTAATGAGCTGTCCCTGACTCACAGTTTTAAACAGAGGATCTAGAAGGCAAAGGAGATGAGGACTTCACACTAAGGTATTTAGAGGAACATATCAAGGCCAACACATCATGCAGATACAGACTTCCGGAAGTCGTATGTGGCCTTTGATTGGCAGACAGCGAGGAGGAAGCAGAGGACTTCTAGCCTGTTTTGTCACCTTATTTGCCTAAAGCTGGATTTAAGCGCTGAAACCACAGTAAGGACTCAAGTCAAGAAGGTCTCCAGTCTTTGGCGTGGGACAGGAACGTCCTTTGTAAACAGACAGGGCATCACAGCCCAGACACACTGGTGTGCTAGGGAATAGGAGCATGTGGCTTTCTAGGGGAAAAGAGCCCCCTTTAGCAATGTCTGCCAATTTCTGTGGTGTAAACACTTGACACTGGGGCACATTTCAAACTACAGACTGGATGTCTTTGAACCTAAAGTCACAATGTTTTATAATACAGAAACAGTGGATACAAACAACCTCAAGAATATAGATAACAGTAAAACAGGTATAGTGAAATAATTAGGAACCAATAGCTTTTTAGTCTCCCTCCCTTCTCTCTCCTCTTCCTTTCTTTTTCCTACCTCCCTTCTTCCTTTTTGGTGACACTGAGGTTAGAACCAGGGCTTCTCACTGAGCTATATTCCTAGCCCCTTTTATGTTTGTTTTTTTTTTTTAATTTTGGGGACAGGGTTTTGCTAACTTGCTAAGTTGCCCAGGCTGGACTCAAATTTGTTATCTTCCAGCCTTAGCCTCCCAGGGTGCTGAGACCTTTGTTTTTTTAAATAAAAATTTCACTGAAATTTAATTTATAAACTGTAAAATTTCCTCTGCTTGGAAGTGGGCTTTAGTGTAGTCACAAGTTGTGTGACCATCACCATTATTTAATTTTAGAATATTTTTATCAGTGCAAAAAAAAACAACAACCCTACCCTCATTAGCAGTCCCATTCCTTGCCCCATTCAGCCTCTGGCAACAACTGATCTATTTTCCGTCTCTATGGATTTGCCTAGACAGTTCAGAAAAACGAAATCATACAACATGCAATCACCATCACCTGCTTCTTTCATGCAGCCTAATGTTGTCAAGGTTCATTCATATTGTAGCAAGTATCAGCAATTCACTCCTTTTCATTGCCAAATAATATTCCATTCTATGTTATGTCCCCTTTCGTTAACCCATTCATTAATTGATTGAGAAGCTTTTGGGCTTGGGCCATCAGGAATAATACTTCCATGAATACTCACGTATAACTGTCTGGATGTCTGTTTTTATTTCTCTTGGGCATGATGCTAGAAATGGAATAGAGTGACTCTCTGTTTAAGATTTTGAGGAACTGCCTGGGTTTCAAGGCAACTGAATCATTTTATATTGTGATGGGAAATGAATGAGGGTTCTCGTTTCTTCACATTTTCACCAACACTTGTGTAGTGTCTCTTTTATTATTATTTCTTCAGTTTTGGGGATTGAACCCAGGGTCTTGCACTGTTACATCCCCAATCATTTTTATTTTTTATTTTGAGTTAACATCTCACTAAGTTCCCCAGGTTGAATTAACTTGCAACCCTCCTGCCTCAGCCTCCCAAGTAGCTGGGCCTTCTAGACAGGTGCTACCATGCCTGGCTTAGTGGAGCTTTTAAAAGTCATCCTAGTAGAGATTAAATGGTATTGATTTGCATTTCCCTGATTATATATATATAATTTAAAGTCTTTGTCACTTACGTCCACCGTCTCAGCTTCCTCAGGGAAAATTTTTATTGATTGCTGTTTTAGCCTATATACACAGACACACATTTTCCTGTATCTTTGCCTGCTCTGTAATTGTTCCTTGATAACCAGACATTTTCAATCCTATACTGTGGAAACTCTGAAAATCAACTTTTCTTGATATGTCCCTTTTCCAAGGGTTTGTACTGTTTATGCTGCTTGTTGTTATAACTGCTGCCATCATTCTTTTTTTAGTGAATTCCCCGCACTAATTCTTTTTTAAATTGCACATGGCCACCAGCTTCTCTGTTCTGTTATCTTTATGGTCAGCTAATGATTGTCCAGAGACTTCCTTAGATGCCTTGAACTAATATGCCTCTCTGATGTGGTATGCATCCAATGCTCCTGCGGCCTGCCGTTCTGCCTCAGTTCTTACTTCCTGCTTGCATAGTCTCAAGGCAGCCAGGAATGAGAAATAAAGGCCTTCTCAAGTCTTTCCTGGGCACATTTGTAGCCCTACACATGCATGTGGCTATCTAGATTTCCAGGAATATAGTGGAATTTTTCAAAACCACTATCCACATATTATTCCTGATTTTTCTTTTAAATTTTTTTTAACAGTTAATGGATGTCACTGGCTTGAGCAGCTACAATGTTAAGTAATTGTCACTGATTATTTCTAACAAACTGGGCATAAAATGGTGCCTTTCCTGGGTGCTGCCAGACAGACCAAATAGTGATCACCATCTGGGGATACAGCTTTTGGTGTTGCCCCAAACCTGTTCTACTCCCTCTGGTAGCTTCTAGGTTGCTTATCTTCACAGTTACTATGGTGGTGAGGCTGCTGGTTTTCAGGGCTACCACAGAGGTGGGATGAGAAAAATGGGAGTAGGACAAGAGAAAAATGCCACAAAACTCATTATTCTGACTGAGATCTAGCCATTTTTGCCAACTTTTGACTAATTTGTAGAACTCTGAAGAAGTTCATTTTGACAATTTTTGCCAATTCTTGTTGCTTCCTGTTCTGGAAGCCCTTTTCCTCCTTACCTTTGTTTGCCATATAATTTAACTGTAGATTTATATCATTTAATTTTTAAGAATAGCTCTGCTTAACAACTGGCATGCAAATTCCTGAAGCCCTAACCATTGGCTTTCAGGGGTGGGCACAAACTTTCTCTAGTACCCACCACCAACAGCACCCTCTTGGCTGCCCCATTTGACTCAGGTGAGCTCTGCAAACTTTTAGCATATCTGGTGGGTGCCAAATTTCAGAGGTGCAACTCACCTGGTACTAAACCGATTCCATATCCTTCAGCATGCAGACCTCTTCCAGAACTTTCTGGCAGGACATATATAGCCAGTAGGGTCTTCCATGTGATGGCTTGGCATAGAGCAAAGCTTGGAGATCAGCTATAGAAACACTGAAATATATTACATCAAATCCCAGGAATCCAATGCCAAATTGTGCTAAAGGCTGTTTTCTGACTCTCGGGTGAAAGTTAACAAAGGAGGTTTTATTTGTTTTGTGTAATCTCTAACTAGGTAGTCCTCAAGGGAAATACTGGCCAAAGGTGTACATGGTGAGGTAAGTGGTGGGGTAAAGGTTTCCTTTAGACATCGTATGAGGAATGTGTACCTTAACCCCTGCTCCACGAGGAGAAAAAGGTTGTATGTGTGTTTAAAAAAAAAACTTTGGGGCTGGTTTAAATAATAACAAAACATGCTTTGTGACTGTAGAATGACGTGTTGTTGGGATTATGTTGCTAGAATTATGACTAACTACCATGAGGCTTATGAGGCCGGGCCTTCCTTGGGCCAGGAGTGCTGCAAACAGTCATGGAGTGTCTTCGTGGGTTATAGTGTGAGTGTTGCCTGACTTCTTTGATTACAAAGGCTTCCTGATAGAAGTGGAAGCACAACAGAGTGATTGCATCTGTTTTCTAGATGTTTGTCAACCTTCCCTTTTCCATAGAGTGACCTGCAGAGAGCCATGGAGCCTGTAGCTCAAGGTATCACATAGCTTGAGTCCGCCAGCTCAGCTGAGATATTTAGCGGCTTGCCTCAGACATTCAACAAAACATTCCCTGGGCATTGTCTGTGTGTCCAGTGCTGGGTTAGCACCACAGATAGTTGGGGTTTAGGATAGTTATTTGAGGAGCTTGGAGGATTCGGCAGGTGCCTTTATGGCCAGCTGACAAGATTCAAACTGTTCCGTTCAAGCACAAACTGGATCATAGAGATTCTCCAGAAAAGCTGGATATTTTCCCAACTCCAAGGCTTCTGACCAGAATGTCATGCATGATTAGAAAGTGCTTCCTCCATTCCTACCGCAGGACTAAGGTTCCTGCCTTACCTGGGAGCTGCTCCTGACTGGCACCCAACACCAAGTGCCAGCACCATTCCTTTAGAAAACACCAAGCTAAGCCCTGTGCCAGCTCCCAGGCACTCCCAGCTGAATCAATGGGATACAGCTGCTGTCCTCAGAGAGCTTACAGCCACAGGAACAATAAAACATGGCAGTGGAGTTCCAGTGCTAGGGCAGGGCACTAGGAGATACTCACTAGTCTTTTGTCCCCAGGGGCTGGGGGGGAGTCTTCCTAGATGAAGTCATATTGCAGGTGTGTCTTGACTGATGAAAGGCAGAGCATCTTCCAGGTGGATAACAGGGGACAGGAAGGGGACTCTCTTGACAGGAGCTGAGTCAATGGGTGACCGCTGAAAGGCATTCTGTTCCTTTTGAATTGAAATAAAAAGCCCAAAGCTGCTTGAAGGCTGATAGGATGTGTAGGACAACCTAGCAAGAACCTAAAATGGCTTTGACAAGTAAAAAAGGCAGAAGATAAAACAGACCTTTTTTTGGTGGTAAAAATACTGAGAATATCAGGATGAACTGTGAATGGATTTTTATGATCTGTTTTATATATCCCTGTATTTTTACATTTAAAATAATTGTCGGTCTTACCTGCTACCCACGCACTCCTCCGTCTGCAGGGGGCGCCCTGGCGCTCCCCTCACCTCCTCCTCCAGAATGATAGGCAGGGCCTCCGGGACTGGTATGAACTGACGATTGGCTGTCCATCTGTCCATCACGGAGTCCCGCCCTCCCCCGCTACGTCACATGACGCAGCCCATCATGGCGGCTGGAGCGCGGCTACCTGGGCCCGCGGCTCCGCAGGATCGCTGTTGTTGCTACTGTTGAGAGGCAGCGGCGGCGGCGGCGGCGCAGGCGGGCGGGAAGGATGGTGTGTCCCCAGCCGGAGCGGCGGGTGCGGACCAGGAGCCGGGTTGAGTTTGGGCCGAAGCAACGCGTGCTCAGGAGCAGCCGGCGCGGGTGCCGCTGAGGCTGGACCGACTGGCGGACTGACGGACCCTCGGAAGGCGACCCGAGAGCCAGCCCCGGGGGGCCGCGCCGTGGTCGAGATGCCGGGGCCGCCCGCATTGCTGCTGCCGCTGCTGCTTTTGCGCCTGGTCGTCGGTTATGCCGGGGCCGCGCCACTTCCGCAAACAGGTGCAGGTGAGCGGGCCGCGGCGGGGAAGGGGCTGCAGAGCCTCTGCGGCGGAGTGGGGGCCACGCGGGTGGCGGGCCGGCTGGGTCTGGCCTTTACCTGGAGGGATCGGAGGGCCAGTCGAGGGCAAGAGATCTGCGAACGGTAGTGATGAGGGAGATTTCTGCCGCAGGGGCGTGGGATGGGGGGCGGGGGCGAGACGACGCCCTGGGGGCTAGGGAGGGCGGGCGAAGCGACCTCGACCGACCCCTCCCCGGGTGGGCTGCGGTAGCAACTCTGGACCTGTTGCCTCAGCTTGCATCGTTTATGGCAATGCTGTCCCCTTTCCAGATGTCACCTGCCTCTTGTACGTTCCTCACATCTTATGGTAAGAGCCCGTTTGCTTAGCTCTCATCATTACTTAAATGCAAATGACTTGGCGAGCTCTGCGGAGTTTCCTTGCAACTTATTCTGAAGTTGTAAATTGATTTTAGGCGCTGTGCTTTTTATTCGAGATGAAGCTCTGGGGATGAGAAGGAAACAGCAATAAATCTTTCTATTTCAGGAAGCCAATGATTAGTCGTTTTGGAATAACTATTGACAAACTGGCCTAAGGGTAATTTTCTATGTTAGCGACATCAGCGTGTGATTTATTTCCTTTCTTTTCCTTTTCTGTTTCTTTTCCTGCCTTCTTTTCCACGGTTTCTCATATCATTTTCCCTTGAGGTTTATTCTGCTAAATAAAACTTGAACCCAAGAAAGCATCTCTAGTTGGCTTTTTTTACAAAAAGAAAAAAAATTAGGCTACTTTGCCATTATTGGCTGCTGTTTGTCTTTGAAATGGGGAAAGATTGGTTATTTTCATAGATCCATAGAATTTTAGAGTTGGAATTGGGAACAGAATTCAGTCTACTTTCTTCATCTTGCAGATAAAAATATTGGGGACCGTGGTGGTCAAATGACCTACCCAAGGTGACACAGCTAAATTATGGTTGGAGCTGTATACTCAGGTCCTAGATTCCCTCTTTGTGTGATTTTTGTTGTTCTTGTTCACCTCAAGACTTGTAACTGTTATGGAGCACTCCTGAGGTCAAGCTTAGTTTAGAATGTTAGTTAATAAGGTGCAGAATGTGGAAATTCTGCCTCCAGGAAAGACACACTTTTTAAGCAAACGTACAGTGAAAGGTACATGTAATTGCTTCTATAGCCACACCAGGTTATGACATTGAGTGGCTGTTAGTTAAGTGTAAAATGTTATCATTTTACCATATAATGTAGTGCTAAATTTACCCCAACTCCCATAGATCAGTTCTTTTAAGGTGAATTCTGTGTTTGATCCAATGGATAAGAAGAGTAAGTGTTGCGGGAAATGGATAGGCAGCTCAGGTGCAAGTCCCAAAAAGCACTGAGAAGTTAATGAGAGATACGGAAAGATAGTGATGTTGATAATTAAGGATATTGATGTTAAAATTGTAAATCAGCACTAGAGTAGGATAGTGGATTAAGAATGTATGTTGAGGATTCAGGAAACTTCTAGACATCTTTGCACTTAATCAGATTTTTAATATTTTGACATGTAGGTTTGTTTTATAAAGACCTATGAAAATGTGTCTGCCTATACCTCTTCCATGCCTTTCATTTTTCTTTTCTTTCCTGTTTTATGCAGGTGTGAGTTACAAAAGGCTGTGTTTTGGAGTGTTGTAGAACAAAGCAATCAGAAAAATAAACCCATATATGTAATATATGTTATATATATAATACATATCTATACAATCTTAATATAAATAAAGCCCAAGTAAATAATTCAGTGATTTAGAGCAAGTTTTGTAGATTTCCTTTCATATTCTAATCCTTGAAGGGGAAGTATGTGGTTAAATGTGTGACATATGACTAATAGGTACCTAGGGGTAGATTCTGTGAAAAAGGGCACAGTTAAACACAGATACAGGCGAGGTGTGGTAGCTCATGCCTGTAACGCCAGCCCTCTGGGAAGCTGAGGCAGGATGGTCACAAATTTGATCCTAGCTTGGGTAACTTACCAATTTAGTTGAGACTGTGCCTCAAAATGAAAAATAAGAAAAGGGCTGGTGTCGTAGCTTACTATAAGGCCCTGGGTTAAATCCCCAGTACAAAATGGGGGAAAAAAGAGGGGGGTTATCTTTCCATCTAAAAAGAGTCTATTAATCCTAAAACTAGGATAGAGCTTGATCAAGATGTTTTAGACTAAGAAGAATAAAGAAACCTTTCAGCTAATCTTGATTAATGATTAATCACTGGTTAAGAAAGGAGAACTTCTCTTGAACATATATGGTGGATAAAAGAGCAGTTACACATTTAAAACTTCAAGCTTCTGATGATTTAGTGATCTGTATTCTGTACCAAGATAGAGCTAGCCCCTTTCAAGTAAGGATAGACGCCTTGCCTCCTTGGTCTTACTCTTTCGAAAGTTAAGTCCCTTTAATGGTCCCTTGGAGAAAGCATGCTTATCAGAAATGGGTTTAAAAAATATTTGGGTTGTATCTTTTGCCAGCATTTCTGCTTTTCTTTCTTTCTTTCTTTCTTTCTTTCTTTCTTTCTTTCTTTCTTTCTTTCATTTATTTATTTATTTTTGAGATAGAGTCTTACCATGTAGTCCATGGCTGGCTTTGAATAGTCAAGTAGCACAAGCTGATCCAGAATTTATTATCCTCCTGCCTCGGCCTCACAAGTGCTAGGATTACAGGCATGTGCTGCCCTGCTTGATTCTGCAATCCTGTTTATTGGGGAAACAAATGAGATTGTTAAATAAAATTCAGCTTTTAAATTAAAGTTCATTTATCCAAGGTGTCTTTGTCATGCAGAATCATTTCTAGGTTTGGAAGTTGAAAAGGTGTTTATTCATGACTCATGATAAAGTTATGTAAATGTGTGGATTGCTCTTGCCTGGCAGATGACATTTTTTGTTCAGACTTTAATTTGGGTCCCTCAGGGGCTGTGGGATGCCCTTGTGCCCCTCTGGTTACTAGCCTCTTTTCCTAAGAATCCATATCTCTGCAGCAAGAGCCCTTATTGTTAGTGTACATTGAGACCTTGCTGGTCCTTGGTAGGGCGATTATGTCAAGAAAGAAAATCAACTTTTCACACACTGTTAAACGACCAAACTAAGACCATAATTTAGTTCTTTTCTCCAGATCATAGTTATTAGATCATTCTTCTCTTGGAAAACATTTATGTGCCTTTTGTAAGATTCTCAGGATTCACAGCATAATTTAGGATTTAAAATAAAAGTAGATACTATGCATGTCTATGTGAAAGCATTCCCCTGAGCCCACGCTTTCTTATTAATATTAGGATAGTGATTAGACAGGGAAACCCACTTCTATTGTTCTGCGGCATATTAGGTCACAGAGTACAGAGGAAGCTTTTAGCAGTTCCAGATAAAGGCCCTCAGGGAAGCCTGGGAAGCCAGTGGGACTCAGCCACTGATTAAATGCAGCTTGGGGAACTGGGGCTTTCATTGCAGATTAAACAAACAGACGCATATCTTGAAGATTTCTAAAGTGAAGGAAGTGGTTTCTAAAGTGTGAATTTTTGTGATTAATAGTTCCTGAAAAATAAAAATTATTTTCCATGCAAATTCTTGCAAGATTTATGGCTGTGAGGTTTGAAATTGGATTTAGGTTGGGATTGTTATATTTGCTTTTACAGGGTGATATTTTTGTTACTAACCATGCTCATCTGCACATTAATAGTCTGTCCAGTTTTGTGGCTGGTCAGCACTGAAGTTACCAAATCCCTACTGTTTTGCTGATATCAATGTGCTTACTGTTCATGCAATTCTCTTGAAATTTGGAGAGTCCTTAGGCCTTCTCTGTCCCTTGTGGGCTGTGTGACTTAGATAATAGCTCCACATGTAATAAAAAAAGACATTGTCTTATAAACAAGGGATGTACAGGGTTCTGAAACAGTTAAATGAGTCCTCAAATAAGCCCTTGGAGATGGACATAGAAAAAAAATTGCAACTTTTCAATGTAGTTGAGAAGAAAACTCACAGACTAATCTTAGGAGAAACATGGTATCTTAGAAGAACTTCACTTTGGAGTTAGACCTGGATGTGTGATTTTGCATTTTCATGTCACTAGGTTTGAGATCTTGGACCAGTTACTCTGCATCTTCTGGCATCTTAGAACTCAGCTGTTCAAAGAATGATAACGATGTTGGGAGGAAGGTGTAGTATCATGGCAGTACCGACTCTGCTACATATTATGTACTTGGTGATAGAGATGTCTTCATTGTGTCATGGGTTTCGGGTGTGTGTGTGTGTGTGTGTGTATGTGAATTTGGTAGGTTGTCATTGGATTGACTAGTGGCAGGTGGCATGGCTGGAGAGAAGGCACTCGAAGTGATAGCTGCATAATATGGAATGTTTAGAATTTACTGGATTCAAGAAGTCTTTGTTGCTCAATAACTTGTTATATGGTGAATGGAGACCCTGTAGACAGAAATGAACCTGGTTGATTTAAGTGTAATGTATAAGCTGGCGTGTTAATTCTTGAAATTCATAATGTTGGGGCACTATGCTGAAAATTTTTAGAGTGATCTAGATTAGTCTGCTTTTACATAATAAACTTGTTTTTAAGCATCAAGATGACTAAAGCTCTTGCAAGTGAACAATTGCCAGTTTTAATTTACTTAAAGGAGCCATGAACAATCTGCTTCCCTGATCCCAAGCATAATTCCATAATTTTTGCATGAAGCATCTCCAAAGACAGGATGATGTTTCCCCTTGGATAAATGTCCTTTAGGAAGATGAACTTTTTTTTCTCTTATAAAATCATGTGCAGGCTGGGGATATAGCTCAGTGGCACAGCACCTGCCTGGCAAGTGCAAGGTCCTGAGTTTGATTCCCAGTACCAAAATAAATAAATAAATAAAATAAAATCATGTGCTTCTGCCGTATACCAGCTGTGCTTTAATGCTTTAAGATTTTTATTTGCTACTCAGAAGTGAGGAAAGGCATATTATAGAAAGAAGTCTAGTACAGACTGCC